TTTCGACTGGTCTCGATCCCCACAGCAGAAAGGTAACCAGATTTTACTGAATATTCACCACTCGTAGTAGTTTTCCAAATAATTCGATCCAAAACACTTCCAGAAGGAAGGTAAATATGAAGAATATGATTAACCATTTCTGGTGGAAACATCGCATGACCTAAAGGGACTCTCCATTGTTTAATAAAATATTCAGGGGCCTTAAAAACCGAAAGCAAATATGCCGGGATGGCTGAAAGGGTGTGTTTAGCCAAAACACACCTACTTGCAAAAGTCAATAATCCTATTTTCTACCCTTGAAGTTTAGTCTTGAATTTATGAATAATGGAACTAAACACATTCCCTTTCTTCCTCGAAACATCCATAGAGGCTCCTAAATATATGCCAGGCTTAGCCACCTCTCAAATGCCCAAATAATCCCTTAAAAACTCCCGAAAACAGGATTCAAGATTGGGACTAACCATCAAATCTGACTTATGGAAATTAATCCTTAGCCCAGATTGATGACAAAAAACATCTAAAAGCTGCCTCAAACACCATGCCTCCTCCTTTATAAAAGGCATAAAAATTAAACAATCATCAGCAAAAAACAGATGAGAAATGCATGGACCTTGTTGACAAATAGATATACCGCGACAAATCTCTTGAGGCCATCCCCGCAAGACCAGAAGAGAGAGCTTGGACAACGAAAAGAAATATATAAGGAGAAAGAGAATCGCCTTGGCGCAGCCCACATCTAGGTTGAAACCAATCCGTTCTTTGAGAATTAATCAAAATTGAGAATGAAACTGTGGAAATATATTGTGAAATAAACCTAATCCACTTCGGACCAAAACCCATACCCTCCATAACTTTAAGCAAGAAATCCCAATTGACTCTATCACAGGCCTTATTCATATCTAATTTCATTGCAAAAAAACCTTATTTCCTGGATTGCTTTTTTTGGATGAATTATCTTGCATATAATTAATTAGCTTGTTTTGTATGTGTCAACCTATTTAAGATATGCTTATTTGGCAATGTTGCATTTTATCACCATGAATTGTTGTTTGTTTTTTTGTGTTAGTTATTCTTTTTTATTAATAATATTTTTGTCGCTAATAAAAAAAAATAGAAGAATTGAACCAAAAAATCTTTTTGTGTATGAGATGCATATGACTTCCATACCACGACAAATATCAATATGTATTAACCGTTAGAAGACAAACTCACATGGAACTAATAAAGTTCATTTTTAACGCGGCGAGTTGCAACAAGTGGCCTAGATAGAATAATGTCTTTCTAAAAATAAAATTATTATTTTAAAATAGAGGAACTTTTTAATTATATTTTGTAGCACATAATTTGAAATTTTTAATCTTAAATTTGAAATTAGATACTTAAAGTTTGTAGACATTGAAATTTTACTAAACTCAGTGAAATTTCATTAATATTGACTAAAGATTAGTGAAATTTTGTTAACTAAACTAAGAGAAATTTCATTGTCAGGTAATAGAAAATTTAGTGAAAATTTTATCAAAATTTTCTTTAAGAATTTCATGTTCGTCATAAATTTTATTTGATAGATCTTAACAAAAGGGTTCTAAAAATATTTTTTTAAAAAAAATAGATATCTAGATAAAAAAAAAAATATTGAATTTTAAGTTTTTAAATCATTTCACAACAAAACAACGCTTACCCGCTTTAATGTTGGGGTATTTTGGTCTGAGAACAACCTTCACAAATTTAGAGGAATTGGAAATTTTTTTGGGAATTACAATTCAGTGGAAGCTTAAAAAAAAAAATCAAATCAATGATAAACTTTATCAATTTTAATAATTAAATTTAAATTTTTTCATAAATTTGTAAATATTTTGTGAAGATGTAACTGATCTGTAATTTCTCCAGATATTTTTCATATATATGTCTTAATACTGGTAAAAATTTTTAATGAGGGAGCACTAACTAAAATCTCCTAAGAAAAAATTAATTTATATATCAATTTTCTTATGCATATAATCACCAAAATAAGAATAAAGGGCAACCATCAAGATGGAACAAAAACTTCAAATGAAACAAGGAAGGAAAAGACATATATACTAACTAATAATACATAAAATAGCACACAAATTAACACTTAAGGATATAGATAGCCCATATAGACCGTCTTTGGGTTTTAGTTCAGATTTTTTATTTATTAAATTCATTAGAAAAAACAAAGGAGCAAATTATAATACAAAATTTCAAAATGCATTCTAACAATTAAAATTGTATATTTGTGGGTGTTGAAATCTAATCTCACAACCAATCGAATCTCGTCTTCAAGATTCAAGAAATAAAGCCGAAGAACACGCAGCAAGATAGAGAAGCCCAACACCTGCACACAAGAAGACAGCAAACCACGGTGATTCATCCACCTGAAGGCACTCCGACGATCAAGTCAATAAATTTATCTCTTAAATATAACAACTCAATCACAAAACTCACAAAATGAAACATACCTTAAACACACGAGATGCCTTTCTTTTATAATGAACAGTGCCATTGTTCCCTAAAAGTCTAACTTTAGAAGACTATATCTTTTATAAGGATATCACTTATCCATGACTCCTCCCATTTAAATGAAAACAAACTCTCTCAAGAGTCCACCTTACCCAAACAAGTAGTCTGATATCATCTAGGACTCTCAGTTCTTATTTGAATATCTCAGATTCCTGTATAATCACATCACACCTTGACAATCCAAGGCCACCCACGTAACACCTCGGCTAACCACCTAGGCCACGTAGACAATCCAAAAATATGTCCCCACAATTTTGAACCTAGAAAAATAAAATATATATATATATTTTTTTTTTATTGGGTAAATTACATTGACACCCCCTGAGGTTTATGTTTATTACAGTTCTCCCCTCACCTTTTGGAAATTACATCCCCCACCCTAAGGTTTAAAGTTTCATTGCAGATTGCTCCCTCAGTTAGTTGACTGTTAAATCAACTAATAGATTTTGCTGATGTCAACAATTTACTTTTTTTAAATACCAATTTTTCCCTCACTGGGTAAATTACATTGACACCCCTCATATTTTAGAAATTACAATTTCCTCTCCAAAGTTTAAAGTAGCATTACCAATTGCCCCCTTGGTTAGTATTAGTTGAAAAAAAAAATCATTGAAAAAAATTTTGTTAGTTAAATTTTAAAATTTCTGTTTAAAAACCAACATAAACTCATTTTTTGAATTGTCGTAAAATTAACAAATAATTAATAAGTTACCAACATAAGAAATGACTTATCAAAAGATTCTCAAGCTATGTATGGTTTGATTTTTAAAATTTTTTTTAAAAAAAATTAAAAATTAATTTAGTTAAGAAATAAAAAATAAAAAATAATTATTATGTTTATATAATTTTTATCTTTCGAGTGGTTAGAAATAATTTTTTTACAAATTAAATGTATTTCTTCATAATTATTTTTATTAAATTAGTTTTTTTTTTTTTAAATGTCAAGGGGAATTTGTATTAAATTGAAACTTCAGGGGGTGTCAATGTAATTTACCCTTTAAAGTATATGTAAAGGTTAAGGGTAAATATGTCATTTTAACTTAAAAGTTAACACAGTCAAATAATTACACTGACCAGGGGGATCAGTGTAATTTTCCAAAAATAAGGAGAAACTGTAATAAACATAAACTTCAGGAGTGTTAGTGTAATTTACCATATTTTATTTATTGAAATACAAAATTACACCAATACCTCTATTATCAGTTCGTGACTCTTCTACAGTAATTTGTGAGAAGCAGCTACGTTGCCTTTTGCTACAGTTTTGGTGACTATGAGAGATCTACGTCTCCAAATTTTCTCAATCTATTAGTATCACAGAATGAATTCTCTGTTCCTATCTCAAACTCTCGTAGCCGCTCTCTATTAACGGCAATCGACGATGTCGAACAGCTCTCGCTTCGGGCCACCATCATCACAGATAACAAAACTTCCATTTCTTCTTCTATTTTTCTGAAATCTGGTTCTTCTCTAATCTGATGAGTGGAATAGTTTTGAATTCAGCTTTGGAATGGTTTGATTTTTAAATGTGTTCTATGATTGAAATGGGTTTTTGAAATGATCTTTCTTTTTTGAAATGGGTTTCGAAATGGTTTCTATCGTTGCACCGTTTCAAAAATGGTTTGTCATAATTTGACTTCTTGTTATGAGAATGGCTGCTTTATTTTGGGGTTTTCTATTTTTTTTTCACCGAATAGGGGTTTGTGGGTTTCGTTTCAGTTTCACTCAGTTATGACTTATTTGAGAAGTTAGTGCTGTTTGGTGTAACTGTTAAAACAGATTATAAATTATAACTTAATAAATTATAAATTATGATTTTAATCAGAAGCTGTTAATATGTTTGGTGTAACTGTTGGATTATAGATTTAAGTTGTTGAGTATTGTTTGTTAAATAAGCTGTGAGGTAACTTTTTCAATTAACTCTTATTTTTTATTATTCACTATTTGTCTACTTTTCTCATAAAAATTAATAATAATATTCTATAGTCCATTTGAGTCTTTTTCTATTTTTAAAAAAATAAAAAAATCTAAGAATATAATCGTGAATTAACATATCCACAACAGAAGCTGATAATCAGAAGCAAGGGGTGAGTAACTTCTCAGAATCAGCTTTTTTGACTTAAAATAAGTTGTTAGAATCAGAAGCTGTTTGAAATAAGTTTAACCAAACAGTCCAAAATAACTTTCTAAAAGTCAGAAGCCATAAGTTGGCTTAAAAAAGCCCCACCAAACACCCCAGTTATTGTTCATTTTCCTTACATTATATTTGGTTAAAGGATTTGGGAAGAGATTTGGAAAGAGAAAGGAAAAAGGTTTGTGAAATTAGGTGAAATGTACATATATTTTATTCATATTTTACCTATTTTTTCTATTTCTCTTTCTAAATCCCTTCTCAAATCCCTCAATTAAACACAACATTAGGAAAATAACAATTTAGTGTTAATTTGAATTTTTTTTTTGAAATCAGTGGTAAAATTTATAGGATTATTGGGATTTCATAATTTCTTCAACATGTAATGGTACCATTCTTTTTCATAATTGCTGAGATTTTTTTTCCTAACTTTTGTTCTCTATATTAATACGAATTCTTTCTTGTCTATTTTTCTAGGACATGTTTTAGTAAGCTCTGCTTCGAGACTTTTCATCTTCAATTGAAGCCCTTGATCCTCAATTGAAGCTTGTTTGAGGTCAAATATGTCCTTGTCAGTGATAGCACTAGAGTTCTTGTCATCAACTCAACCTCTCTTCTTTTGAAATAGGTATCAAATGAATTTTCGCCTTCTTTACAACAATTTTCTTGTTATTTATTTATTTATTTATTTATTTCTTCTTCATCTGGTTTGTCCGTCTTCTTGGTGATTTGTTGTTCTGAAAGTAAGTATTTTTTTTTTTTGGTTAAGTTCAAGTAAAGATTTTCTTTTTATGGTTTTTACAGCTTTGCAATTCCGGCATAATATTGGACCAACAGCGAGGGAAAGTGATTTTCAATCTTCGCAGAGTTAAGGTATCTTCTTCTTCTCTATTTTTTTTTTTTAATTTTTTGTGTGCGCGCGCTCCTTGTTTATCCCTTATTTTTTTCTTCTTATTCTTTTTTTGTTTTTTTTTTTTTGCTTGCATGCTTAATTTTATTTCTTGCACATTTTTTTTTTAAGGTTTGCCAATATATATAATATTATTACATTTTTGGGTTTTTTTTTCTGTTGCCTATGTATCTATTCTATTTTGTACCTTATTTTGTTTTGTTTTGTTTTTGTTTTTTTGTTTTTTTGTCTTTTTTACTTGATTTAGTTTTTGTTATAGTTTTCTTATAAAGTTCTATGTGATCCATGGAGAAATGTCCCAGGAAGTTGAAATTCGTAACTCTCAAAATTTATAAGTCCATATGTATAATCCATTATGTTTGAAGGTGCTTACTATTTTTCTTTTGTTTCAATGTGAGGAAATTGTTTGTTTACGACATTAAAAATGGCAACAATTCTGTCTGATAAAACCAAAATCATCATTCCAGTCCTTCAGTCTTCGTGAACAAAGTGTTTGACAACCACAGTAATCTCATGGAACATCAATCAGTACCATCTTTTTTATTTTTGCTCAGTGTTAATCTTAATGTTATTTAATAGCCGACTCCAAAATTCGGACTTTGTAGTGATAATTGGCCATTTTTTGGATACATATGGGCTGGTTTTGTGTTGTTTTTTGTGTGTGTGTGTTGTTTTTTGTTGTTTTATTCTTGGTATTAGCTTTGTTGTTGTTTTTTTTTTTTTCTCAAAATTTTTAGTTTGTTTGTCTAAATGTTGTGTGAAGTTGATTTTGGTGATTTGTGGGTTGATTTTAATCTCTTCAAAATTATGCTATGTTTTCTCTTCTATTGGTGTGATTAGGTGATTCTTGTGGCTTTATAAAGACGGGTTTTGTTCTATTGAGGTAAGAAACGTCTTGTCTTTTCCTTTCTTATTCTTCTTCTTACACGTTGCTTGTCTTCATTTGTTTTTTGGAGGGGTATATATATTTATTCTTTTTTTAAATAAAAAAGAAAAAACTGCTTTATTTATCTTCGTTTCCTTGGCCTTGGTAGGTTTATTTGATTATTTTTTAGTGTGGTAGACAGATCTAATTAATTTTGCCTTTGACCAAAGTTGCAATAAGCAATTTGTTAATAATACTCATCTTTATTTGTTCTGATCTCCATATGTATGCTATTCTCTATTTTTTTTTTCTTTTTTTTGGTGGGTATTTTTTGGTATAGTTATGGTTTTATAGGTTTTTCAAATTTGCTGATTTTGAGTTTGTGTTATTTGTAATTGATTTTTGTTTGATTACTCTTGAGTTGGGTTCATAACGGTCTGGTTTGTAAGTGTAAAGATTTCAAATGTACCATATTCCTTCTATTACTTAGAGTAGGAAGGTTTCTACTTATGTGTTACTAGGTGACCCATATGATATGAATTAAATTATTTAGAAAAATAAAAAAACCATATAATTCAAATATGCCCTTACAATGGGGGCAGGTGGATTTGACTGTTATTGTGAATTGTTTTTGTAGTGGTTCTTCATCTCTATGCCCCTTTAATCAACATCTGATGAAGCTTTTTTCTTTAAGTTTGCCCATTAATGCCTAGGCTTTTGTCTGTTTTGTAGCTATTTACATTGTGCTTAGTTCATAAACTTAGGTAGGGAATTGAAAAGGGAAAGAAAAAAGGTAGATGAAATGTGAAAAATCACTTAATCCAAAATACTCTAGTTTTTGCTTTTCTATCTGATATACAGGTTAGAATTCATTGATGAATACAAAACAAAAACTTAAAAACCCAAGTTGTACTCGATATTTCATGGATTGAATTTTTCCAATTAGTTATAAACATTATGTAGGTTGATTTGTTTTGCATCTTCTTTGTTGTGTTCCTTCCAACATATTTCTTATCAAACATCATGATGTTTGCATTGACAAGGTTTTTTGTTTGTTTGTTTGTTGTGTGTGTGTGTGTCAAGAATGGGATACAACTTTATGTGTTCCTTTTACCAGTAGCATAGATACATTTTATTGTTGGGCTAAGGTTTTTTTTTTCAACTCTTAGGTAGTGTTTGGTTCACTGAAGTGAAGTGAATGAAATGGTCATTCCATCAAAATGTTCATTCGAGTTGCTTCTCTTTTGACTTGAATTGATTGTTTTTGTTTCTTGGATTTTGCTCTCGCTCAATAATGGTGAGAATCCATGATCATAATGGATCAATTTCCTTCAGCACATTGCTCACTAATTCTTCCACTTCTTCCGCTTATTCGTCTTCATATCTTGATACAGAGGTTAATTTGCCTATACATATGTATTTTTAATTTCGCCTAATGTGTTTATCTTTGTCTAGCATACAGAATAAACAAATATGATATGCTATTTAAAATTTCATATTCCTAAAGTTTTCAGTTTTTGCCCATGTTTATCAAAGTTGCTTTTTCTCAATATTGAGGCTTAAAATTGATTTAAATAAATAAATATCCCAATGACGGTCAATTTTTTCCTGACAAACTTGGTAAGAATGTAGATAGATCAGTACTTCATTTTCTTTATCTAGTCTAACCAATGTATAAGCGCACTTCCAAAATTTTAATAAATTTTGTTGGCAAGCTTGTTGTGCCTTGTGTGCTCTGTTAGATAAATTGAACAACTATATTGAATAGCCTCATTTATTTTAATACTTTTAAAAAAACAAATCATTTTTGTTTACCTCTGAATCATCTTTTTTTTAATTTATTCTTCAATACCAAACCTTATGCATCCATAATAACAATAATGTTTCTAAAAGTTCCAAGCACTAATGGTACTATAGCATTACTGCTTTGTTGCTGATTGAAAAATATGGAAATATATTATAGTGCTATAGTTATTAACATTAGACATCGACTTTTCTTTGTTTTCAGCATTCCAGAAGCAAATATGGACATGCAAATATACTTGCAACGACTTCCTCTCTTTTGCATCTCTCTTATTTTGACTGCTTGGTATTTTACAAAACAAAGCATGTGAATACAATTTTTGTTGATACTGCTTCAATATTTTTGTTTACATGACTTTTGACTATTCTTAAGTTGATAACCTTCCATTGATTACGTGCACCAGATGTTAAGTTAGAACATATGCTTTTGCTTCAAACTATTTTATGTGGTGTGGGTTTTACCTTGTGAGTGGTGACCAATTCAGTGGTATTCATGAATGATTTGTGACATTATCTTATTCTATAACCATTGTGTTACTCTTTGCTTTTATTAGTAGCTTGTAACTCCTAACTATAATATGTTTTTCTTTCAAATAACTTAATAAAATGGACTCAAAGCTAGATGTCTCTTTTGTTTTATACTATGTTATTACTAAACATAATATGCCTGGACTTCTAAGTTGGGAACTAATATCTCGTGCACTACTTAGAAGTTTCTTCTGCTCCCTTTAATGCCTAATTTTTTAATTTTGTTGCCACTTATTGGTTAAGGATGCAACATTTTCTCCAATATGAGTAGGGATGGCAATTTGAATCTGGCCCGACGGGCAAGGGATGGTATTTAAAAATAAATCCCGGATGATGTTCGGGCCGGGGACGGGGATACATTTTCCAACCCGGGCCCCGACCCTGGCCCCGCCCCGTTCAGTCCCCCGATTCTATTTATATATGTATAAATATATATGTTTGTGTGTGTGGTGTGTGTGTATAGGGTTTGGTTGAGTTGGCACAACAAATATAACACAGACGCATCATCTGGCCCCCCCCCTCTCTCTCTCTCTCTCTCTCTCTCTCTCTTTCTCTAACACACAACCGCAACAGCGCAGCTCCCTCACCGTCACCGCCAACTCTTTATCTTATTCTCACCGGCAACTCCCTCACCACCAGCTTCTTCTCTCGTTCTCACCCCCGACTCATCTCCCTCTCACGGTATCTCCATCTCTCTCTCTCTCTCTCTTTCTCTTGTTTTTTGCTTTTGTTCTTCAGATTTGGAAAATGGTGGAGATGAAGATGAAGATGTTGATGAAGATCTGTTGGTGATGAAAATGATGAAAATGCTTTTTGATCTGTTAGGGCTCAGATGTTTGATTTGTTAGATGTTTTTTGAGTTCAGATCTATTGATGTTGTTGTTGTTGATGAATTCGTTTTCTGGAGCCGTTTTTTGTTTTTTTTTGGCCGGGGATTTTCGAGGTCGGGGAAACCCGATCCCCGTTAGGGGGCGGTAGCGGGTTCCCCGTCGGGGATCGGGACCGGGGACGAGGGAGTTTCCACCATTGAGGATCAGGGACGGGGAGGGTGATCCGCCGCCCCACCCCGCCCCGTTGCCATTCTTAAATATGAGCTACACTTATGCTAAAGCTAGCTTTGATCCATGGGCATAGGCATGGATTATCGTGCGAAGCATGATGCCTCATAGCTAGTGTTATTAAAATTGTATGCATTTTGACTTAATGTTCTTTTTTTTTTAAATCTATTTTGTCTTAATGCATATGTACCCTCGGCCTCCATAATGGCTTGGCTCGGCCCAGACCTAGGCCAATGCGATTGACTAGACAAGGAGCTAGGTTTAGGTTGGTCCATCCTATATTCCATTCCTAGAGGGAGAGGCTTCTCTCTAGTCCATTGTGTTGACTGAAGCATATTGTTAGACCCGTGGAATTCACCACAGGTCTCTTTTCTATAATCTGAACGTTCAATGTGTAGAGCTCATCGAGTACTTCATGCTTGCAAAAAATCACGTTGATCGGATATCGGTAACTCCTTGATCGGAACACATTTTGTCAATGGTAATGATTTTAAAACTAAATTGTTAACAAAAATGTGTTCCAATCAAAGTGCTACCGATATCTAATTAATGTGATTTTTTGCAAGCATGAAGTACTCGACGAATTTTACATATTAAATGGTTCAGATTATCAAAACGGGACCCATGATGGATCTCACGGATCCAACAGTACACTCCAATCCATATAAGGGACTGGAGAGAAGCCTCTAAATCCCCTATTCTACCCATGAGCTTTCTAATAGGGACTTATGAGCTTAGATTGGGCTTGAACCATTTGGGCCTAATTTGAACTTTTTCATTAAATTTAAAATTAATTGATTTTTTTTTAAAAAAAATTAGTATAATATTTTAAAATACATCACTACAATTAGATTTTCACATTTTATAATTAAAAAAATACACATGAATTTTATTAAAGGAAATACTAAATTACTTCTACAAGATATGTAATCCCAACTTAGTGTAGACACCCCATTTTTGACCGACCTTGAGACTCAGACGTCACCAGTTGAGCGCTTGGTGATATTGCATAAAGTGCTCGTTCAGAAGTTTCAGAGTCGCGGCCGTGAGCCCTGCCTCCGGACTTCCGAACCCTCTTCCGTGCCTTACCTCGGTTTGCGAACCTCTACAAGATATGTAACCCCAACTTAGTTGACACATACAATTTTGTAAATCATTTGCATTTGTCTACCCAAATAAACTATATATGAGAAATTAACACTTGTCTACCCAAATAATCATTTGAACTTGCACTATAGATGAGAAATTAACAGAAAAATTTAGCACATTAATTAACACTTAAGGATACAATTTTTATGTTTTAAAATGAAAAGCAGAGCAATTTTTATTATTAGAAAAGATGTTGGTCTATGGTCGGGCTTCAAAAAGCCCATTAGGCCGGGCCACAAATCCTACCCTTAAGCCTAAGCCCAACCCATATATTTTAGGGTTGCACAGGTCCATCCTTGGGAATGACCCTGACCCATGCGCTTTGGGCGTTTTTATAATGTTTAACACAATCATTTTTGAAAGAATAATTGAGAAAAAGTAAAACCGATCATTTAGTGTATATGGACCTAATGTGACTTTTCTGATAGAACTGCGGGCTAGGCTTTGAAAAGCACCAATGAGCCAAGCTTATGGAGCGGCCTGTGGACTTCACCCTTCGGCCCAAGCCTTTGGTGATTTTGGAGCATTATTTCGTACTATTTATATTAGAATAAGGTTAATTACAGGTGTGTCTTATTAAATAGATTTAAATACTTTTAGGTCCTAAACATCTTTTAAATGCACCTAATTAAAAATCTTAAAATACATTTGTTTTTTTGATTGGTAATCTTAAAATATTTATTATACTCTCATTACTTATTTTGTGTAATCAAAAGACAACCCCATACTCCTCTCTCTCTCTCTCTCTCTCTCCAAGAGTCTTACACTATCACTAGCCACCTTCACTTCCACCATCGTCGGCCATCACCACCTTTACCATTGTCGACTACCACCACCGTTCACCAAGCACTACCACCGTTCATCGTTGTCAATCTATACACTATTGTCACTGATTTATCGCCACCATTCACCAACTACCTCCACCGTCAATGATATACACTACACCATTTTCAATCTACACTTAACCATCTCTAATCTACATTTCATTGTCGCCGACCCACTGCAACCATTCACCAGCTACTTTCATTGTCGCCGATCTTCACTGCCATAGTTTTGATCTAGCTATTTACAATTGATTTACTATCTTAGATGTCGATTTGGTACCATCACCATGTTTGTTGTCAAGATGCAGTCATTAAATGGTCACCAGAGCTCTTACTAGTAAAGATCTAGTTAAACATTGTTATATGTAAATCTGAATACATTTATCCGTGAATAAAGTTATAATGATAAATTTTATCAATCTTTTCTTTTCTTTTCTTTTCCTTTTTGTGTGTGCGCGCGCGCTAGTGTGCTAGTGTGTGGGTATTTTTCTATGAATGAATAACTAAATGGGTGTGAATGTGAGAATAAGGGAGAATAAGTAATTAAGAGGTCTCATAAATACTGATAAATAGTATCAGTGATAAATTGATCACATATAACATTGGTGATAAACTTTAGTGATAAATTTATCACTGCTAGATTTTCATTCTACTTTCTTTTGTCACTATCAGATTTGAGGAAGTGGTGGGAGCAGTGACATGGTGGAGATGGACATTTTTCTTGAATAAATGGTTGAAAAATTATTTAAAAACATTGTTGGAAAAAATATCGCTGGAGAACGGAAGTGGTCATTGGCTGTCGGAGACAACTGTTGGAAGTGGTCGCTGGCAACTGAAGACGGTAGCTGGAGGTCAGTAATTGGGAAAGGGAATGAGTCGTGGCAATGTTGATAATAGAAATAAAGAAGGTAATGGGCGAAAAAACAGTAAATAAGACTTTGCAACTATTTCTGTTTCTATTCCTTGACCCCAACTCACTATACCACACCAACTTTCTCTTCCCCTTCTTTGGATGGAGCAACTGCGCATTGAGCGAGAAAATAACAGTACATATATATGAATTTGTAATCAATGTTGAATGATTGGATAATATATATATATATATGCGCATTTACAAATTATATATACATATATATGTACAGTCTACAGATTATATATATACAGCTGCAAAGCATTTTGAATGCAGGTTTGTAAATAAATTTTTGATCTATTGTATATGATATTGATATATATAATTGATAAAATAGAAGAATTCTTTGTACATAATTATGGTGCTTATCAATTTCTAACCAATCGTAGTTAGGCCCGTCGCAATTGGCTTGACGTGATGGCATTTACTGATTTTTCACCAACTGACTTTATCAATCCTCAAGGTTACAATCATCTTCCTATAGGTTAGAAGAAAAAAGTAAATAAGACTTTGCAACCATTTACAAAGAATTATGCAGGTCAAACGAAAGAAGATAAGGATACTATTGATATGCAACTCAATTATGCAGGCCTACTTCATTTCAATTAAAATTTTGATTTTGGTATGATTTCAATTAAAAATTGGATTTTGATTTGGATGAGCCCGGCAATGGCTACCATGGCAGTCGAAGCAGTTGACCATAATAAGTTGATTTGGGGAGGCTGCGAAGCAGTGGTCGCTTGGGTGGGGTGGGGTATGAAGGTTGCAGGTGGTGGTTGCTGGGGTGTGTATGAGCTGTGGGTGGGGTTTTGCAGCCATGGGAGGAAGAAGAAAGAAAATAAGTGTGCATATATATATATATATATATATTTGCAGGTTTAATTCAAAAGAGAAAAGACGAAGAAGATAAGGGTATAAAAGTTAATTTATATATTCTGTTAACAGAAGTTAGCGTGTGTTTTAATCCATAAATCACATGAGGGTAATGTAGTTATTTTCAAATGATAAGAGAGTAATCCGTATATATACGGATTTATGCACTTAGATTGGGCTTGAACCATTTGGGCGTAATTTGAACTTTTTCATTAAATTCAAAATTAATTGATTTTTTTTAAAAAAAAAATTAATATAATATTTTAAAATACAACACTACAATTAGATTTTCACATTTTATAATTAAAAAAATAAACATGAATTTTATTAAAGAAAACACTAAATTACTTCTACAAGATATATAACCCCAACTTAGTTGACACATACAATTTCGTAAATCATTTGCACTCGTCTACCCAAATAAACTATATATGAGAAATTAACACTTAGTTAACACTTGTCTACCCAAATAATCATTTGCACTTGCACTATAGATGAGAAATTCACAGAAAAATTTAGCACATTAATTAACACTTAAGGATACAATTTTTGTTTTTTAAAAAGTTTTTAAAATGAAAAGCGGAGCAATTTTTATTAGGGAGCTTTTTTGATAAATCCACTTTCTAAGAACTTATTCCATCCAACTCATATTCTTTTTTACTATTCCATTAGGTCCTATTTGAGATAAGAAGACCAAAATATCCTTTTCATCTACTTATGTTCCATTTAGTTCACATTATTTTCTTATGTTTCAATAAGTATTATGGGTAACATAATTACCAAAATACCCCTAATGCGAATGTTCACACCGTCAATGTGAATGTTCATATCGTCAATGTGTAGGGGCCCGGCCCATGTCGATCCTCGTGGGTGCTCGGAAAAATTCGAGTCGGGCCGGAGCGGGCTTGGCCCGTTGACAATGTGAATATTCACATTGACATGTTAACATTCACATTAATAGGAGTATAAAATTGGCCCGCGTCCCATGGCGGCGCGAAACCTGCCCGCAGCCCATGGGCGGCCGAGGGCGGGCCCGGTCCGGCTCGTTGACAATGTGAATATTCACATTGACATGTTAACATTCACATTAACAAGAGTACAAAATTGACCCGCGGCCCATGGGCAGCCAAAAGCTCGGCTGCGACCCGGGGCGGGCTCGGCCTGGCCCGTTGACAATGTGAATATTCACATTGACATGTTAACATTCACATTGATAGGAGTGTAAAATTAGCCCGCGTCTCGTGGCTGCCCGAAACCCGCCCACGGCCCGTGGGCGGCCTGGGGTAGGCCCAGCCCGGCCTGTTGACAATGTGAATATTCACATTGACATGTTAACATTCACATTGATAAGAGTATAAAATTAGCCAGCGGCCTAGGGCGGGCCCGACCCGGCCCGTTGACAATGTGAATATTCACATTGACATGTTAACATTCACATTGATAAGAGTGTAAAATTGACCCGCAACCCGTGGGCGGCCCGAAGCCCGATCGCAGCCCGAGGCGGGCTTGGCCCGACCCGTGACAATGTGAATATTCATATTGACATGTTAATATTAACATTGATAGGAGTGTAAAATTTGCCTGCTGCCCGAAGCTTGGCCGCAGCCTGGGGTAGGCCTAGTCCGGCCCGTTAACAATGTGAATATTCACATTGACATGTTAACATGCACATTGATAGGAATGTAGAATTGGCCCGCAGCCCGTGGGCTGCCCGAAGCCCGCCCACGGCCCGAGGCAGGCTCATTTGGGTTCGAGCCCGAACATGTCCGAGACCCTAGGCTAGGGCCTAGGCCATCATTTTGAAGCCTGGCCAGGCCCATCAGGCCGCTTAAGGCCCATTCAAGGCTCGGTCCGAGGCCCAGCCTACCTGAGGCGCAATGTCTTTTTTTGTGAAAAATAATAAAATTTTGGTAGAAAAAATTAAAAAAACTTAAAAAAAAATGGCCAGACCCGCCCAAGCCCGACCTAAGCTCGAGGCTAGGTCCAAGCCCACCGGCCCGACCCGAGGCTCGATCCATCGGCCCGTCCAAAGCCCGAATACCCTTGTGCTAGGACTAAGGCCTAGGCCTAATTTTTTGGCCCGTGGGCCAGACTGGGTCGGCCCGGGCCTCTACGCATTGATGATATAAACATTTACATTGACGATGTGAACATTCATATTATGGGTATTTTGGTAATTATGTCTCCCACAAGACTTATTGAAACATAAGAAAATAATGTGGACTAAATAGAATATAAGTAGATGAAAATGGTATTTTGGTCTTCTTACCTCAAATAGGACTTAATGGAATAGTCAAAAAGAACGTAGGCTGCTCGAAGCCCGCCCGCGGCTTGGGAAAGGCTTGTTTGGGCCCGGGCTCGTGCCTAGTCCGAGACCCTAGGCTAGGGCCTGGGCCATCACTTTGAAGCCCAGCCCAACCCATCGGCCCGGTTAATGTCCATTCAAGGCTCGGTCCGAGACCCGGCTCGCACTAAGGCCTAGTGTCTTTTTTTGTGGAAAATAATAAAATTTGGTAGAAAAAATTAAAAAGAATTTAAAAAAAATGGTCAGGCCCGCCCAAGCCCAACCGAAGCCTGAGGCTAGGCCTAGGCCTATCGGCCCAACCCGAGGCTCGACCCACCAGCTCAGGCCCAGACCCAAACGAGCCTGCCCTGGGTCGTGGGCAGGCTTCGGGCAGCCTACGGGCCGCGGGCCAATTCTACATTCTTATCAATGTGCATGTTAACATGTTAATGTGAATATTCACAATGTCAACGGGCCGGGCCGGGCCTATCCCGAGTCGTGGGCAAGTTTCGGGCAGCTGGCAAATTTTACACTCCTATCAATGTTAATATTAACATGTCAATGTGAATATTCACAATGTCACGGGTCAGGCTGCGGTCGGGCTTCAGGCCGCCCACGGGCTGCGGGCCAATTTTATACTCTTATCAATGTGAATGTTAACATGTCAATGTGAATATTCACATTGTCAACGGGCCGGGTTGGGCCCGCCCTGGGCCGCTGGCTAATTTTATACTCTTATTAATGTGAATGTTAACATGACAATGTGAATATTCGCATTGTTAACAGGTTGGGCCGGGCCCGCCCGGGCCGCCCACGGGCCGTGGGCAGGTTTCGGGTAGCCACGGGGTGCGAGCTAATTTTATACTCCTATCAATTTGAATGTTAACATGTCAATGTGAATATTCACATTGTCAACGGGTAGGGCCGGGCCTACCCCGGGCCGCCGGGGGGGCTTTTTGCAGCTCATGGGCCGCGGGCCAATTTTATACTCTTATCAATGTAAATGTTAACATGTCAATGTGAATATTCACATTGTCAACAGGCCAGGTCGGGCCCGCTCTGGGCCGCTGGTCAATTTTATACTCTTATCAATGTGAATGTTAACATGTCAATGTGAATATTCACATTGTTAACAGGTTGGGCCGGGCCCGCCCTGGGCCGCCCACGAGCCGTGGGTAGGTTTTGGGCAGCCACGGGGCACGGGCTAATTTTACACTCCTATCAATGTGAATGTTAGCATGTCAATGTGAATATTCATATTGTCAACGGGCTAGGCCGGGCCTGCCTCGGTCCACGGGGGGTCTTTTGGTCGCTCATGGGCCGCGAGCCAATTTTATACATTTATCAATGTGAATGTTAACATGTCAATGTGAATATTCACATTGTCAACGAGCCGGACCGGGCCCGCCCATGGGCCGCCGCCGGGTTTCGCGCCGCCACGGGACGTGGACCAATTTTACACTCCTATTAATGTGAATGTTAACATGTCAATGTGAATATTCACATTGTTAACGGGCTGGGCTCGCCCCGGCTCGCAGGCTGGTTTCGGGCCGCCCACGAGCCAATTTTACATTCCTACCAATGTGAATTTTAAAAATATAAATGTTCACATCATAAAATTGTTAACCGTTCAAAAAATATTTATAAGAGTATCAAAATTAAATATAAGGGCATAAGTGTCCAAGAAAATAGTGTAAATAAAGAAAAAAGACTATAGAATAAAACTATACATACATGGGACTAAATGGGTTAAAAAATTCTTTCATAGACTTCTTGGGTTAAAACACTTCTAAATGGGATTTATCAATAAAAATTCCTTTTTATTATTAGAAAAGATGTTGGTCTATGATCGGGCTTCAAAAAGCCCATTAGGCCGGGCCACAAATCCTACCCTTAAGCCTAAAGCCCAACCCATATATTTTAGGGTTGCACAGGTCCATCCTTGGGTCTGACCCTGACCCTAACCCTGACCCTGACCCTGACCCATGCACTTTGGGCTTTTTTATAAGATTTAACACAAAATCATTTTTAAAAGAATAATTGAGAAAAAGTAAAACCGATCATTTTGACTTAATGTGACTTTCTGATAGAACTACG